TGGCGACTGCCCACCCTGCTAATGCCCAGTCTTACGACATACTTACTGCCCCAACCAGACCATGACAGCGACCACGCCGAGTAGTAGCAACCGCCAACTTCCTATGTTTACTTCGGCTCGCTTTGCCTTGCAAGACTTGATTGCAAGACTTGACTGGAAACATGACCACACCCCCATGCAGCCTCCGGCCCCCCAAGGCGTTCGTCTCATGTCAAAACGCAAACATGCCGAACTTACTGCTTTGTTGCAGCTTTTCCTTCCCTTCCTCACTACCATCCAGCATAGTTGCTGGTGGATGCCTTCTGTTCCTCCTCCTCCTGCTGCCGCCACTGCAACTATTACAGGGGTAGGTCCATAGGGCACTGCGGAAGTTTCGGGAGCCTTTGGGAGTACTAGGGAGAGTTTAGGGTTTATAGGGTTTATAGGGCTTAGGGAATGTTGGGAATTGTGAGTGGGGTTTCCCCATCCGTAGAGTTTCGAGGAGAAACTCGCGCAAGATCCTACAATGGTTCAGCTGCGTGCAGAAGCGCAAACTGGGGTGAAGGCCCTATGCTGGGTCAAGACATGGAGCTGTCCCCCAGATTTTGAGGATTTTGCGGCGTCCACAGAATAAGAATTTTGGGGGTCTCTACTGAGCTCCAATCATTTGTGGGAGCTACCACATAATTGGTTTCCTTCTTCGGCTTGAAATTTGAATATGAGTCCATGTATCGACTAGAATATGCACATGCGTAGGAGGCCTCACAACAGAAACAATGTTATCCCAATGTGAGTGAGGACTCTCATGATCTTGTAGTCTCTGATTTGTCGTGAAAATTCCCTATGTAGGCGGCCCGTATTTGCAACCCTACATACTAACCCTCCTAGTGAGGTCCCCACCAGAAGCCTAGAAAGTGCAGCTAAGAACCATGTGTTCGTTTGTGAAATACCCTTTTCAAAAGATTTTTTTTCAGGGGGTCTGTCCCTAACCCTTAGCCCTTAGCCTTAGCTCCAAACCTTGAACCTACCCGGCAAGGCAGACTTCGTACAGGATCCCTTCCGGGAAGGGCCCGGGACTCTTCCAACAACACCGAAGCCCGTATGGGAGGACGGCTTACACTCCCCCAAATTAACATGGAAGTTTGAAAGGAGGTTTGCAGAAATTAGGGTAGGTCCCTTTAGTTGGGATTGTAATACAGTTGGATCTATCTTGAGTTCCCCCAGTTGATGGAAACTGTCATAGAGGGGGTTCTTCTGGTTGGGGTTGTGGTATATTCGGGTCCAGTTTTGAGTTCCCCAAGTTTGGGCTTAAACCCTAAACCCCAACTGTCATAAAGGATCTTGTAAAGCCCGCTGCCCTCTTTAAGAGAGCCAATGTGGGGTTCCAACGCCCAGGGCCCTCGGCCCGACAATTTCCTATCAGAAGCCAGCAACTTTCATTCTTATGGGTTTAGGGTTCAGGGTTTAGTTTCCTGAGAAGTAAAATGCCAGGAGTTCTAACTACTCCTCTTCCTTTGAGAATACACGATAACCTCCCCACCCCTATACAATGATGAATACCCCAATATAAAACCATCGTCACGGACTCATGGCAACCCAGTCCGGGCCCAACAGCCTGGCACTGGAGAAAGAAACTCTAGTCTCTACCCTAAACCCTAAAACCTCTAATCTCTAAACCCTTTAACCTCTAATCCCTACACCCTTAAACCTCTAATCCCTAAACCCTAAAACCTCTAATCTTTAAACCCTAACACCTGTAATCCCTAAACCCTGAAACCTCTAATCCCTAAACCCTAAAACCTCTAATCCCTAAACCCTGAAACCTCTAATCCCTAAACCCTGAAACCTCTAATCCCGAAGCCCCTAAGCGTCCCACACTTTATACAAGGCCTGAGACCCGGAAACCAAGAATTTTCGAATAAAAGGAGAGACAACCTATGCCTTCTACGCTTATCCAAATCTCTTTTGGAGGGTCTAAAGTATTTGGTGAAGCTGCGTTGTTGAGACAGCAGGGGCGGAGCACCTTGCGTATCAGAAGCCAGACATCCCCTAGATGCGGTTTAGGGTTTATGGTGCCCTCTTGTAGAGAAATATGGCTTGGGGTATATTACAATAAGATTCCCATATACCGCATATTCACAATTCTATACCCTACATCCCCCCAATATAACCCCAATATTACCCCATATTATCTACTTAGAGAGGACAATAGGGTGTAGCGTGGGTTAAGCCAGAAGAGCGCCACAATCCTTACTTGACTTGGCCTCCCAACTACTTAGGGCTTAAGGGTTTACGTTTAGGGTCTAGGGTTTAGGGTTTAGGGTTTTACTAACGGGGAATCCCTCTGGGAGGGGGGGTTGGGCATCATGTATTTGGCATCTGGGAAATCCAGGTACGCCTTAAACTTAAACTTGAAACCTAAACCCAAACCCTAAACCTATACTTACTTAGCCAATAGGAGAACTTCAGCCTTTTTGGGCTTCGTTTTTGGGTTCTCCATGATAAAGTTTAACCTTCTTTAGCCCTGGTTATTGGGGAAGAGAGTACAAACCCTAAAACCCTAAGCCCCAAAGCCAAAAGGACGCTGCTGATTCCTTCAGTGAAAAGGAGGGCCCATCTCCAACAACTTCACGTCCCAGCTCCTGAGTTGCTGTTAAGGAGTTTGATTTAAGTTAGGGTTTAGGGTTTAGGGTTTAGTTATTGGGGAAGCCCTATTAATCACTATATGAGCTATCGTCTAAACTCCTTAAAAGGGGTTATGAGGGGATTATATAGGAGACTCTTATAGGGCTTACTAAAGGGGATACTAGGAGTTTTAGACTATAATTCATATACACCCACTATGGTCACTTAATTTTCATTCCTTTTCAGCAACCCAGGCTCGTACATCTCGGATGCTGCCCGAGGCAGGGTGGGTAGGTAGGCCTTGGGGGCATTCCGGGGTTTGGGGTGTAGGGATTATAAGGGGAGAATATTGGTAATTATGTAGGCTTCGACAGAGGCCCTCGGAGCCTTTGGGGGGTTAGGCTTTAGCTCTTTCTGGCTGCGTGCGGCTCAAGGTTCAAAACTAGGGACATGTGTTTATGGAGTGGCTATAGTAAGGACTATACAGCATCAGGGCGTATATTCGGGCTTCCAGTTTTGGAAACAGGGCCTTGGAAATTCTAGTGCTAAGTCCTTTTTTTGGAGCAAGTCTCTACAGTAGCAAACAGAAGTCCCATCATAACATCTCGCCAGCGCCCCCTAAAGCGCAACCCGGAGGAGTCACCAGCAACATTGCCCTATAACCTCTGTGTATCTAAAAAGTGAATATATACACGCCTCCAAACCTATTTTACTTATTCAGACCACCTGGACTAGTTTTCTTCAGGCATCCTTCAACCTACCCATCCAGGGGGGATTCCCCCCGCGCCAGACGACCATGTCCTGGCGCACCGCGAGAAGCAAAAGGTGTGTTTTTTGTTGGAAACAAACGATGAGAGGAAAAAAGAACGACAACAAACAGCTTAAGGTCCAAAACTTGGAAACACGGTAAGAGGAACATAAAACGATAGCAACATTTTGAGTCAAGCAAACAGCACCGGCGTTTCAGCCCCAATGAAGGTTCCCGTTTCCCCCCCTCCCACAAAAGCAAGCTCGTAGCTGGTTAGGTGGCCATTTCACCAATGGGGGCCTACTATATCCCTAGCCAAAGTATATAGTCCCCCTTAAGTAGATAGAATATGGGGTATATGGGGATCTTATTATAATATACCCAAAGCCATATTCTATCTACTTAAGGGGGACTATATGCTGAACCTATTGCGACAAGATTGCTCGGCAGCAACTATGGTAACGGCACCTTGGAGTTTGCCGGAAGTGAGTGTTCCCCTACTACCCCCCCTCTATACCCCAGGGGTTTAGGGGATTAGGGGATTAGGCTTTGGGGTTCAGGATTTAGGTTTAGGATTTAGGGTTTAGGGTTTTAGGCTCTAGAATGCTGAGCCCTTGCTGTACCTTTGTTAGCCTCGATAAGCCGAATTGGGGTTGCTCTGAAGCATTTTCACACTTGGGGTTCCCATTTTAAACATGTTCCCCATTAAAGAGTGTACGCGCAAAAAGCCCCACAGTTTAGAACGACTACCATGTGTGAAATCTCCTTTTGCAGAGTTGGCCCCTTTCTGGATCTCAGGGTACAGATGCAACCGGCCTGTGACCCTACAACAGTCCAGGGCATGTAATACATGGACTCCGACTCTTCAAATGTCCGAGAGATGCACCACAGGAGCTATGATCCTACACCTTAAACCCTAAACATTAAACACTTTTTCACCCGAAACTCAACCTCCCCTCCCCCTATAGCTACACAAGCAAAAGTCGAGACTCCTTAAAGGGGGTTAGTTATAAGGGGGTGTCTTATGGGAGTTATTAATGGGGATACTAGGAGTTTAGACTATAGCTCATATTGTGGTATAGCCATGGTGAAAGAAGCAGGTGGGTAGGTTTATTGTAGCGGTTTAGGGTTTGGGGTTCACGACTTAGGGGAGCGCGGTTGTAAAAACTTAGGGGTGCTTGGAAATAATCTTTAGTTTTTGCTTATTGTAATCCTAAGGAACAGCAAGAATTAAAATGTTTACTCAGGGTCCAAGTTCCCCAATAACCCTAAACCCTAAACAGTATCTGGTAGTTTCCCTAAATAGGGGTATCCCAATATAGACCCCAAACTACTATAGTCCTCACTATAGGGCCCCCCCCAATGAAAAGGCGGCGCTGAGCTCAGATCACCTTCGGTCAAGCCAGCAACAACTTGCTTGGCTTTCATCTCTCGCGCTCAAAGCGCCACCGAGTCTCGTGCCTACGGTTTGGGGTATATCGGTTCTAGCCATGATTTTGAAGATCCTTGGTTATGTCAGCCTTTTTACGGAAGATTCTCCAAAACAATATGATTTGTGGGAACGCTGGGCTCATCAGCTAGGTTGCAGATCCGAATCGAGCATCTTAGCAGACAGCACCCAATGAACTTCACGCGGCGCTACCTGGTCATGGAGGATGAGGAAGTGCCTGACGCGATGGCCAAGGCAGAGTTGCTCTACGCGATTTTGGGGGCTTGGGGTTTAGGGTTTAGGGTTTGGGGTTTAGGGGTTTAGGGGTTTACTTACTGGTGGCAAGTAGGGGATAGGGGAGCTTAATCCCTATATAATCGAGATATAATGTGCTCCCTTACTCCCTACTAACCTCCAAGGCTACACCCTACACCCTAACCTATGATGTATTCCCTCTTGCCTTACTAACCACCAGAAAATTTAGGGTTTGGGCCATCCCTTTTGGCAGGGCCTGAAGATGTGTAGATAGTTTGGAACGGCTTCGCTAACTAACTGATGGGTTGCTGTTGAGGAACTTCGACTAAGTTACAGTGATAACCTGGATATACTTATGAATTATAGGGTGATTGAGTTCAAGGTCCTTGACCCCAGGCTGCAAACAGTCAATTCAGGTAAGTACCCTCCCGAAGAAAATATGAGACCTAAAAATAATTGTTCGAAAGGAAAGGTCCTGGGGTCAATGGTTTAGTGACTTGGAACCGCAGAAATTGCCCCTTTGCAAAGGCCATTGTCAGGTTCCACGTTATTTTCACAGGACCAGCGTGGGCCCGCTGATATGCACTACATGCGCTCTGAGACTAACAACCCCTAACACGCTAGCCCCGTCATTACGCCAGTCCCCCCCAGCATTCAACAACACTCCACCCCACAATCTAAACCCCTCTGGCCTCACATATTACAGTCTACTCTACCATGATGGAAGGGAATACTGGCCAGGGATGTGGGGTTTAGGGTTTCAGGGAATCATGCATCCTAAACCTGGGGGAGGGTAACCTGAGGCCACTGCTACACAACCTCCCAAGGTGTTTGCAGTTTCATCTCCCTTTTGGGCCAGGGGCCTCTTTCAAAGAGCTCTATGGGGGTTGTGTTGAGATATATTAGGGCATATGGGGATACCCAGGATTTTGGGATTAGTGTTTTTTCCAAACAGTTAGAGTTCCCTTTTTGAGCGTCTCTGTTAGGAAATGTTAAAAAGGCTTATTGTAGATTGGGAATCGAGCTCAGTAGTAATTTTAATTATCTTCGCCCCGACAAGCTCTGTTGGAGATGTAAGATGAGGCCTCTCTCAAAAAGCCTTACAACCTAAACCCTACGCCCTAAACCCTAAGCCTTGTGCAGGTAGCCATCAAGCTTGTCAGCGATGGGTTCATTGATACATGGATGACTGCAGATGAATCAGCAGCCTTCCAGAAAAGTGTTGGCCGCACAGCGGGCAGCTGGGTTGCTGTTAAGGAACTTAAATTAAGTTACTATATTGGGGAAACCCTACTATTTACTACTGTTAAGGAACTTAAATTAAGTTACTATATTGGGGAAACCCTACTATTTACTATATAGACCCATTATGGTAACTTAATTTAAGTTCCTTAACAGCAACCCAGGCTGGGGAGGCATGCACAACATCCAGGATGACTTGCAGTTTGTGTCAAACTACGGTGAGCCGCCTGGAAAGGATCTGGCACACTACTACGCTGTGGATCAGTGTGATGCGGATTACATTGCCATCGTAGAGTCGGACAACATCATGTATGCGAGGCATGGGTATTCTTGGGTCGAGGAAGCCATATTGGGCCTGAGAGATGCTAGGCTTTAAAGATTTTTTTGTTTTTCAGTCGTTATGCTGCCTTAGGCTAGTTCTTTCCCAACTTATGTCCGTGCCGCGAATGTTGAGATCCATTTCTGTCAGCGTGGAGAGATTTGCTTCAGGCTTTGGGAGGTGTGCTGGACCCCACATGCCTGTGTTGCATATACTCCTGGGTCATATGTCTCTGATGGTTTCGGTGTCAGGCCGTTGCAATCTTGTTCTTTTCTTGACGCAGCAAATTCGGCACGTGGCCCCGAAGGAAGAGTGATGCTAACCCCCTCACCACGAACTGCAGCGTGCACTCTTAAACCCTATGCTTCAAACCGAAACTGAACCCTAAAGGAGGGGACCCCCAACCTGTGTTTACCCAGAGCCTCAGAGCCTTTCATGCCCTGCGCAAGAAACACAACAATGCCACAAAGAAACTACCTACCAGCCCTCGGGTAAACAGGGTAGTGAAGTTCCTAGTCATGTCCTTGCAATGAGGCTTTTCCTCCTGGCTATATCTCATGATTCTGCTTTTGAGCTTAACCTCGGGTTTCCGTACTTTGAACCACTACTTGAGTATACGATGATGGGTACTGCATCTCTTGTTTGGTCTGAATTCCTAAACCCTAAGCCCTAAAACCCGAAGACCTAACGCCCTAAGACCTAAAACCCCATACCCTAGACCCTAAACCTAAAACCCTAAAACGATAACCTTAAAACCGTAAACAACACCCCTAAAGGAGAACAGCAATGTGGTTCTCATCCTGCCGGCTTTCCCTGGGCTGTCGAAGCGCAGGGTCCGGAATCGGCCCACCACGCGGCCAATCGTGATTCCTTCTGCACAAAAGATCCAAGGGATAATGTAGGGGTTCTGATTGCGATATAGCAATCATGCGGGTTATAAATCGCTGCTAGGGGTCATCTAGGATAAAAAGGTTTTTTTTGGGCTTTATAAGGATTATTTAGGGATTAAGGGTTTTTGAAGTTAAGAAATATGTTCATACCCCTGCTGTCATGAAGAACCTAAATTCTGGTTACCGCTGTGACCAGGCCGAGACCGTGTGATCGCGCAAGGGCTCTGGGTTTCTTAAATTGTACAAGGGGCTTCTCAAGTTGGTGCAGACTGTCGTAAAGGGTTTTTTAGGCTTCGAGGTTCAGGGTTCAAGGTTTAGGGCTGCATAGAGACCACACGGCGTGGGTAATGGGTATAAAATAACTACATACAACTTCGGGTTTTGGGGGACAAGCCTGGGATCATGTGAATCATTCTTTGCAGCGCAAATATGTCTGGGACGCAGTGTGATCATCTATATACACATACACATACATATACATATACATATACATATGCAGTGTGGCAAGTCAACTGCATGAAGGAGATAGGACCAGGCATTCACAAAAGGTTTCCTAAGGCAGACGGGGTTCTTACAGGGGACCGCCTTTTCTTTTTGAATTCGGGCCTGTAATCTTCTTTCCAAGGTACCTACTGGCAGAGAAGAAAGGATCTTTCCTCCTGGAACCTAGCCATATGCTACACATTCCGAAGTCTCGGGGCCCAACATCTTGGATCTAAGCTTTACATGCGAGTTGCATTGGGTGCCAGACCAGGTGAAATGGGACAAGAGCCCTCTTAAGGGCCCAGCAATGCTTGCTGACACCACTTGCGAGCGTCCTTTCACACTGCCGGGGCACGCTTCCTTGGTGGACCTGAGCCTGGGGACGTCTTTTGGGGGATGTACAGGGCTTAAGGGTACTACAGCTGTAAGGTGTTGCATTTGAGTAGCGAGGAGTTTCAGAATGTGTGGAACTGTGCTGGGCATCCTTATCTTTTCTTCAGCTGAGACTCTCAGCTCTTACTCTCACCTCAAACTAGAGATTGCGGATCGATTTTACGATATCTTCAGCTGGCATACTATGGGTCACGAAGGGTGCTAACCAGCCACACAAATCAGAAAACCAACTACAACGACGAAAAGCGGTAGGGGCGGATCACGGCAACCCCGACGACGGCAACGACGAGGATAACCAGGACGACACGAATGATGATGGTGATGATGATGATTATGATGATGCTGCAGAAGGGGAGGAACCCCCGCAGAAGAAGATGATGGTAATGACGTTGACTCTTGAGAAGAGAAGAAGGAGAAGAAGACCAAGATATCGTGATGCTGCCAACCGCCAACCGCCCTGCGCATGGCGACACGGACAATGCGGCCGAACACGGAGAGCGCTGGTGACTCTGAAGGCAACTACGGAACGCCGACTGCGACAGCAACTGCGACATCACCACCAGCAGCACAATCACTTTAGAAATCAACATACGGAATCCTGCATATGACTTTCTACAGGCCAGGGATGCCGCGTCTGTAGCTGGATGGCAAGAGAGTCTTGCGTAGCATCGTGTAGGCTGTTCTAAGCTTCTGAAGTGCAATTGTCAGCCGGTGTACTTTGCATAGGCTTTCTTTGTTAGCATAAGAAATTTACATCAACAACACAATGCTCATGTGGCCATGAAAACGTCAACCAAATGACCAGCAGGCAATAGTTGCACTGATGATCTGGTGGCTTCGCGAAGTCTAGCAGTTTTGGTGTCAAGGCTCAGTTTTTATACGTGTCTGTTGACCAGAAGCCGTCACCAAGGAGTCGGTACAGAAACCTCACATCCCGCAGCATGGTCAACGAGCATCGTTGCGGAGGCAAATCGTGATTCTGCATGAAGGTATAGCTGTGCTGCTGGCATGGGATCATGTGATGTAGGTTCGGAAGAGGCTTTGGTAAAGGGTAAGGGGGGTGAGGGCATAGACAGACAGAGAGACAGAGGTCTCTTGGGTCAAGTGATGTTAGGTGTAAATCTGCACATGCCTGGATGCGTCCTCACCCTGACTGGTTTTCCTTTGCCTTTACCGGCCTCAGCAAGTAGCAATGGAAATAAGGATGCTGAATGGCAGTTTTGCTAGAGCAGTTGCTTCTTCAAGCAGTTATGGGCTAGCCTTTTTGAGACCATTACTTTTGTAACTATTGCTACTATTTATTTGCTTGTTCTTATGATTATTGTTATTACTACTGCCACCATTACAGTACTGCTGGCACGCAGAGGATGGGTGCAAAAGGGCGTTTGTTGTTGTGTATTGCAGGGGAATTGGTGACTTGTCTTCGGGAAAGAGGTCTGTGATGAAATCCGAAATGTACACCCCTAAACCCTAAATCCCTATACCCCAAGCCAAGTAAACCCTAAACCCTAAACCCGTTGGAATTAGCCCGAAAGCCTAATTTCTGGCTTTGGCTCGATTGTATGTGGGACAGGGCGAGGAGTTCTTCTTGAACAATTAAATTCAGATGCCCACGGTGCTGCCCAACCGCGAACTCTCCATGGGACACTAAGCTCCACCGCACATCTTAGCCACCTCCCGCCAATAGTGAACTTTCCACGCCCCGACTGCAATATAGAATGGTACTATTTTTGGAGTTTCTATTTCGGGGAGGGGATTACCCAAACTCACAGGCGCGATGGTGCGAGGGACACCCTGCCACGACATGGAGCATCCGGGCTTTGACTTGAATTTCCGGTTGCTTCCACATATGGTTCATGCAGAGAAATTTCTTCTCAAGCAATATCAGAACATTGAACTAACCAAAAGGTCTGGTAGAGACAACTGCTTTCAACAGTGCGGTTTTGAATGGAGTGCAAGTAGCCAACTTTTTTTGATAGGCATTACTTACCCTCCCCCTTCAAGGCACATGGTCCTGCTCATGATATTAGCGCAAGCTCAGCAATTCGAAGCCTGTGACTGAGACATGTTCCATGGCTTTCCATGCCCACTCAAGAGTTTGGTAACCGCAGCCCCAAAATTTGGACCTTCTCATGTGTCTATGAGACTGTAGGGTCCTAAGTTGCGTGTTGAGGATTAGCAACAGCCCCTTGTCACGCAAGTCTTTCGAACAACTTTCATAGATACATGACTTTGATCTCTCCGCTAAGACTGAACCCCCAACCCTCCGCCCCACGCCCCACCTCAATAGAGGTTCCCCACGCTGACCCGACTATGGTACCATCACAGATTATTGGCAATATTTGTGTTGTAACAAGGGGTGTATGATTCGCTGAACCTCTCAGACCCAACCCTAGAACCCCTAACGCCAAAGCCTTCAAACCCTAAGTGTTTGGGGCTCAGTATTTTACAGTCACACTTATTAACTGTGTTGAACTGTCAAGGGGACTGGATCCTTTTGATAACCCCTGTAGCATCCCCGTATGTACCTGGTATTTCTAGTATGCTTCCCAGATTCATCCCCCATTCTCCTTGAATCCCCTGGAGGACCAGGAAACCGGAGGTGTGTCCTAAACTCCGGAACCCTTCAGAATCCTACGCTCAAAGCTCCCTAGATAAGAAACCGCCTAGCCTAAACATCCCTGTCTTTCCCTCGGCCGCCCTAAATCCGAAACCAGATAGCCTTTTGTTCTCAAAACTTAAACCCCAAGCCCTGAACCCAAAATTCCTAAAGCCAACCTGAAGCCCAAAACTTGGTAAGATAATGGCACCAAACCCATACAAACGGTCAAATCGCTGATTATCCCACACACTTTGAGGGTTCAGTTTAAGACCACACCCCAATCCCTAAACCCCTGAAAGTCTAAAAGACTCTACAGCACTCTTGCACCTACATCTCTCAAAGCTCGCAAACCTCGAAGCCTAAACCCTGAACCCTCAACCCGGAACCCTATTCCCTAAACCCGGAGCCCTAAACCCTAGACCCTCCATTCAAGGTACGTCAGCAGCTGCGGAGGCACCCGAAGCTGGGCTTCGGCTTTGGAGCAGCTTTCTTGCAACTTTGAAGTTCGGGAGCTGAGAGGGGACTTAGGTTTTGTCGGGCTCGGGTTTGGGGTTTAGGATTCAGAGTGAAGGTTCAGGGTTAGGAGTTTAGGGTTCTAGAGGGGATCGGGGGGTGCTTTAGGGGGTTTGAGGGTGGTAGCTTAGGTCATTCCCCTTTACAGAAACAGTTAGCGA